ATTGGCACAGGACAGAGTGGAGTTTAGGGCTGTTGTACATAGGGTCGCTATGAGTCGCAGGCGACTCGACGGCACATAACAACAACAACATGGTGTACCTGACTCAACCTATAATATTTTCAATAACTTCAGAAGTATATAAAAGCTGGACAATAAATACCGAGGATAAGAATTGATTGCCTTTAATTAATTCACCATGTTAGCAAAGAATATAAAAATTAACTTGACAACACTTAACACCAAATGTTACATGTTTTCTTGACATTCAGTATTTCTTTATAAACTTGTTTGACTTTAACAGAAACAGTTAAGGGACATCGCCTAGCTGTAGCAGATGGCTGGCTGAGAAGGCTGCTAATCAACAAGTCATCTCTATAGGTGACGCCATGTCCTTCCTTGAAAACCCCTTCAGCAGTCCTGGCCCCTCCTACAGCCTGCACTTGAGCTGTGGACCCTTTGGACCCCACCAAGCTGCAGCAGTTGGCTGGCCGAGAAGGCTGCTATCTCCTACTCCTAGGGCAGGCTAACACCAACATTCAGGATCCAGGTCAGGCATTACTTTGATCTGGGACATCATCCTGCTTTGCCAGCTGTACACTCTAACTTGAAGGATCCAACCACCAGCAGCTACCTGAATATGATTCTGGAGCAAAAGGTTCAGAGGCAAAGTCTTTCCTTCAGACAGGTGAAGAGAGTTGGGAATCTGGTTATACCACTCAACAGACCAAGGAGGACAAAGGACTTCAAGAAAAGGCTCAGAAAACAACAATCCATCCCTGCCAGAAAACTTAGCTTCAGGAATGTTGCTGTTGTTGTTGATTGCCTTCGAGTTGAGCATGACTCATAGTGACCCTATTAACAAAAGGCCTGAAGCCCATCTATAACTACCGACATTTATCAAAATCACAGAATTTCCAGAGGCATATTGTTTAGGAAGTGGATGCTGCCCCTTCAGGAATAGAGAGAAAGAAGCATCTCATCCCCCAGTTCCAGCTGGTTTTGCCACGGGACCAGAAAGTAAGAACTAGAGACAGGATGACTTGTCCTTTATTTCCTTTCTAGTGTAATGAGTTCCCCAAATGAAGCAAGTCTTCTTAGCCAAAGGACAAGAAACAAATTCAGGGAGCATGAGCTGTCCTTCCCTCTTCTGGAGAATTGAGCTCCTGAACCAAGGTTATCAGACCAGGGACCTGGTAAGGCCCTAGGCATCAAAAACTCTACCACAGCAATGACATGGAAGAAGCAGACTACCTCACACCCTACACAAAACCAAAACAAGGGTGTCACCGCTAAAAAGTGATTAAAACAGAGTCACAATTCTGGGAAAATTACAATCCCACCAAAAGCAATCTGCAATCTACATGTTCAACACAATCCTAGTAGAGATACCAAACTCATTTTTCAAGGAGATAGAAAGGGTAATTGTCAAGTTTATTTGGAGAGTAAAAAGACTTTAAATGAGCAAAGTGCTTCTGAAAAACTAAAATGAAATGGGAAACATAGCAATCCCTGACATCAAAACCTACTACTCAGAGGTAGTAACAAAAGGCTCATGATATTGGTACAATGACAGGCACATAGACCAATGGAACAAACCTGAGAGTGCATAAATGGACCCAGCTATCTACAGTCAACTGATATTTGATGAGGAAATAAAACCTATCAAATGGAGATATGACAACCTCTTCAACAAAT